ATGACTTTCTACAGTTTATAAACAACAACAAAACTAGTTTGCTCGGTGATGCTAAAATAACAACCCAGGCAAACAAAAAATATTAGATAAAACAACTTATAGGGTTTGTTTTGCTTGGAATAAACAATGCTTGTGCTAGAACAGCATCACCCCAGCAGTTATTTATTGCTCTCTGCCATGGAGCTGTTTGCTGACTGCTTGGGCCTGCAAGGATGCAGTTTTGGAATGGCATTCCTATGGAATTTTGTAAGACCCAGGGAAGATGGCAAATGGTTTATTAGCTCCAGTGACAGAGAGGTAGCACAGGTTTAGTGGGTCCTTGTAACAGTTTGTTTGAAAATACCTAATAGCACTGATTCTTGAAGTGATATCCAGCAAATCCCTTCCATGATTAGAGGCAAATAATTTGGGTTGGGATGAGTTACTCCTCTTGGAATTTGTTGAGAAAACTGTGCTTAAAAACATTGTGCACTTAAGGTGGAACAGGTCACTTTAATGAGCTTCTCCATGCACTGAAACAGAAAATTCCTGGTTTATCCAGAAATTTGCTTCCTCAGGTGATCCTGCCCTCACCAGCATTCCATGTGTGTGCTGGCTGCATCCTATCCCAATGGCATGTCCCTCCTTCCTAAGAGATGCCACTTCTTCCATAGTTTTGGGAGCAGAGACAGACTCTGAGGAAGATTTTATAATCCTGTTGCCTATCCCTACACATTGTGAATCCTCTGCCATGGTAAGGTTGTCTTAGCTCTGTAGGATGTTTCCAAGGAAGGTCTAAGTGGAAAAAATTGCAGCCTGAACCATGATAGTTCTCCCTTCTGGGGGGGAATTGTTATTAAACTACCCCCATGATCCATATCTCTGGAGCGAACAGGACACCCAGGGCACAGCCAGAGATCCTCTTGGATCTTGGAGTGGTGTCATGGATAACATGCACAGCTCTGCTCCTCCCAAAGAGCCTCTCAGCTGCCTGTGGGATTCCAAAGTTCATGTGCTTGGATCTGAAGTAGCCAACTGCCAAGTTTTTCTGGATATTGGGAATCCCTACAGTGTTTAGCCCCAACTCTCCATCCCATCCTGAGCCTTTGGGGCTATGTATATACTCATTGGTGTAGCTACATGTTTTTTTTTTGCTTTCCTTAGCAAAACAGCTGTGAAGTTTGATGAGGAGCTGCCCCAGAAGAAATGGTTCAAGTTTTAATAGTGGCATGTTGTGTGATTTATTGGCTTAAACTCTGTCCTAGCTGACATGGCTTGTAATGACTTTGTTCCTCTCAACAGCATTTTCCCAATGTGCTGTTTGTTTAAAAGCAAAGTGGGAGGAGAGGAATGTGTTGCCTTTCTCCTCTTGGCTGCTGTCTGTGCGTTCACACTGCCATTACCAAAGTTCCAGGATGAGCTTTTGGAAAACAATTTAAGAGGAGGACTGGAGGCTTAGCTCTCTGTAGGAGCTTAAGACCAATGGAAAGATCCAGAGCCAGAGAAGTGGACGTGAGTGTGAATTTTCAGAGAAGGTAGAGGAGCTGATTTGGTTTATTTTAGACTCCAGAAGGTGGTAGAGGTTCTCATAGTTACCACAAAGGTAGTAATTGAAAAGTGATGTAAAATAAAGATGTTTTTTACTCACTCACTAAGCAAACATCTGTGTAGTTCTTTGGAGAACTTGAACTTCTGAGGTTCCTGTGTTCTCAGTCAAACCAAATACATAAAGTCAGCACAGCAACAAGTAAGCTAAAAGCATCTTTGAATCCAAATAAGCACAAGTTTGTCAGATTATCATTTTATAACTCAGTTATAAAAAAAAAGGAAAAAACTAAGGAATTTTAAGGTGAAAGAATTTATCTATGGTACCATTTCCCTGCAGGTAAAATGGGAAATGGGAAAACCAAGGCACAGGATATGAGGGACAGGGATGCTGTTAGCCAAGTCCCTGTTGGGAAGGAGCCTGAATCCCATTTCTTATCCCTCAGTGTTGCTTAGGGCAGCACCAGTTGGAGGTTTTGGGCACCAAATGAGCAGAAAAACCTGCACTTTGTTTCTGATTTTATTTCACAGCTTTATAGTTGTGTATTTCCTCCTCAGAGGGAGAGGATTGTACTCAAAAACTTGTACTTTCCAGTAGGTTTTCACCTATATTTCTGTGAGAGATAGGCCCAGCAAAGCTTATTCTAAGGTCAGATGTTTTTTAGTACTTGCTTGGTTTGCTGTCCTTTTGGAAAGACTTTCCCTGAGTGATCTTTTCTTGGATGACCTCTCCATACTGTCATTAAAACTTGGAAACTTTGGTCTTCTTGACAGTTAGTTCTGCATTCTCATTCTGCTCCTTCCTGCTGTAAACACGCTGAAGTTGCTGCTGGGAGTGCTTAGGATGGCTTTTCCCCTCTGTTGTTTGGAAGTTTAGTAGAAGTTAATCTTTAAGGGAGTGAGGCTGGTGAGGATTGGGTGGCCCAGCCCGACGGGTCACGCCGCGCTGTCTCTTCATTTGCCTCCTAGATGATGTTCTGCTGACTCCAGCTGTTTTTTTGGAAAGCAGAAAAACAATTTGCTTTTCCTTCCCATAAAGTATAACCCTTTGTTTATCCTTGTGCTGCTGCAAGTTTCCAAAATGCAGAGACTTGCAAAGAAAAGAAAGGGAGGAAATAGCTCTTTTTCTTTTTTTTTTTCGTGTCGGAGAGTAAAGTTTAGGACTGAGCTGAATTGTTGACCTCTGTGGAGTTTATTCTTAGAACTGGCTGATTTGTGTGTGGAGCCTGATTGACTGAGCCCAGTTCATGGAACAAACCAGCACCAGTGGGTTTGGGGAGCGCAGTCCCAGCTTTTCTAGGCATCTCTTCTACCATACGATCCATTTTTGATCTGAGCAATACTTTGTGCAGTTCTTCATTTACTTCAGTTCACTCAAGTAATTGAGAACAGCTCCTTTATTTTTTATTTCTTTACTATGTTGTTGAATTGCTGAGACTCCTTTAGTCTCCTGCAGGGATGTTCCAAGGCACTCGTGGAGTTTGGGAAGCACAAGTCACTGTCGAGATTTACATGATGAAGGTGATCATCTGACAGCTTTAATGCTGTATTTTATACATAAAAGAGAAGAAAAAAAATCAGTTTGGGGGACCTGAATGCCTTTCCTGACCCAGATAAGAAGCAGCTGAGGCCAAGTCCTCACTGCTGCTGATCTATAATGTCATCGGAAGAACACGTTTGTATTTACAACCCAGGGCTGTATTTACAACCTTTTTTTTTATTTTTTTTTGCTTGCTTTGTTCCTTAAGAGGCTCTGGCTACCCACATTTTATGCACTTCTGGAATGCAATAACAATTGTGGCATCATCTCTTCAGAATTCGTTTTCCTTCCTGAGATCAAGGCGGTGATAAGTCCTTACCAAATACTCACTTGGGTTTGCTTTCCCGGCCCGAGATGGGTTTAATTGGATGAATTGCTGCTTCTCTCCTTCCCTTTGCTTTATGACCTTTGAAATAGCTTGCTGTGATCTCTTGGATTTTGCAATCCTCTCACTGCTGGGCCCTGAGAAAGGAGATCCAGAGCTGTTTGGTGCTGCTGGAGCTCTGGGCAGGCACAGCAAACCCCATCGAGGTGGTGTTAGACAGCAGTGCCAACTCCCTCCAGCGTGTTCACACCTTCCTCTCTCTTCTGCCAGCAGTGAAAACAAAGCCCCTGCACTTCTCTAAGCCCTGTTCTCACTAAACATTGGTGTTATTTTGAGGTCTGTTCGAAAAGGTGTTCGCAGGGATCGGTTTGTGCTTCCTTCCTGTGGTTGGCACAGCAGTGTCAGAGGCTGAGATGAGAGATTTGAGGCACATGGAAGCTCAGCTGGCTGTGCCTGCTTTTATTTCTGGTTTTCTTAAGGATTTTGTGCTAAAAACTGCAGCTGTGTTGTTTGTGTTCTCCTAAAACATTGTGTGCTGGGACAGGACCAGCTGCCCAGGGCTCCTTCCAGTGAGACACACTAAGATTCTCAACACTTTGTTCCTTGGCCAGTCACTGGGAGAATATCAATTCCTAAATTGACTCTATTAGCCTGAGAACTGTTGGAGACTGAGATTCACCATTTGCTTGAGAATCTCCTCCTTTCCCCCATCTTCTCACCTCCTGATTTTTTCACGTGAAAAGATTTTTTTTTGACATGGAAATTAGTTATTTTCCTCCCAAAATATTTATTAGAACTACTGCTAAAATTTTATAACCCTCTATATTATAAACTTCATCAATTAAATGCCATTTAACATGAGCCTGATTCATTTCTAAGCCTTGCCATATTTTCATCTGCAGCTATTTTGTCTCTTAGAACTAATAGCTGTTTTCACCTTTGAGTCCTCAGGGATAATTCTCTATTTGATGCTCAGCCTCATGTGTGTATATATATATATTTCATGCTAATACAGAGGTAATGAAAAGCAGGAGAAGAGTGGAAATGTTGCCACTGATTTAAAGGGAACTGGGAATTCTCTCACTGTGTAAAGCAAAGTGTGTGCAAAAGTATATTGAGAGGCTGAGGCTTGTATATAGAATTATAAAATCAAAACCAAAAGCATTTTGAGGGGCTGAGGACTTGTATATGGAGCTACTAAAATCAAAACCAAAAGCACAATCCACCCCTTCGTGCAATAAACATCCCAAAGAGCTTGAAGAGAACAAACTGTTCAGCAAAAGTTGAATGTCCATCGAGTAAAATCGATTCAGATGTGAAGATCCAAACCCAATCGAGTCAAACTTCAATATTCCCCTCACCCCCCTGGTTCAAAATGGCATTAAAACTGCAAACCTAAGGAGAACCGAGTATTTACACATAATTAACTGTTGGAAATAGCTCATCTAACCACAGCCTTATCTCCAGGAACAAAAATGCAAAGCAGCCACGGAGTGATATTAGCAACTGAAAGGTTTTTTTGTTTGGACTTTTTGTTTTCTTGGCAATAAGTGAAATTCTTTGTGAGAAGTCGTTAAGATGTTTCTGAATGTTGTTTTCCAACTTTTTCAGGCTGTTATCCTTGTCCAGGGCCAAACATGAACCCTATTGCTCTTGGAAGCCGTTGGCTTGCTTATGCAGAAAATAAGGTAAGGGAAGGTTTGAAGCCAAAAAAACTTCGAGGTTTTGTGTCTGTAGGGGAGAAGAAGAAAAAAAAGTCTCAGGCAAAAAAAATGGTGTGTGGAAAAGAAGATCTGTAAGAGGATTTGCATTAAAATGACACATTAGGAGGTATTTTTATAGCTCACATCTTTACTCTGCACTTTTGATTTAAGCTCATGGAAGGCATGAATATGTTTGGGCAGAGAGGACAGACATTAACTCGTGTCTGCAGTGAGGTAACTCAGTAATCAACCCAATTTTGTGTTTTGAAACAGACAGTTGTGAAGGTGAGCACAACACTTCCTAGATATTTTTTGGAGAAACTGAGTCTGGACTGACCCAATGGGTTTGTCTGCAGCACTACAGCAATGTGCTCTAGAGCTTAGAAAATAGCATTAAAATGTCCACATCTCTGTGGGAAATGTTAGGGGCAAAAAAAAGGAAAATATTTAAATAATTGTTACTTTTAGAGGCAAATAAAATAGCTCCCAAGCAAAGAACTGATCACTCCTTTCACCCAGCCCTGACTCAGGGAAGTGGTTGTGTATTTATAGCTTGAAAAGTCTAAATTCAGCTTTAATGCCTTATTTTTCTTTCAAAGCAGATGTTTTTTCACCCTTCCACCTGTGAGTGGAATAGCTGTTCCCAGAGCTGAGTTCTGAGGGAGACAGATTTTACAAAAAAATATATTTGCTGTTACACCTCTTCCAGCACAGCTGAGTTACCCCCAAATTCAGGCCTTGCCTTCCCTGCCACTGGGGCTGGAAAACCAGTCAGCCTGGCATTTAAAAAGTTGTATTTTGCTGACAAAATAGAAGTCCCTGATCAGCAAAATAATTATATCACAAAGGGAGTTTAACTGGTTTGTGTGTTCCCAGGTAAATCCACTGTGATCTCTCCCTTTCTCCCTAATTGGAACTTCGATGCTGAAATATAAGGAGGAAAACTTAAGCCTGTAGGAACAAATACATCTTACAGTGATTTTTAAACACTCTTGTAGCTAAAACAGCTAACCAGGCAACACGTTGTGTGTGCAAGCAGCAAAATCCCTCCAGTTTGGTATCATTTTATTCAGTCAGGAGCACAGATTGTATGGTTAGTTAGGGTTCAAAGCAAAACCTGCTTTTGGAGGCTGCTGGCAGGTACAGGAGTCTTGTTTTGATTTGCTCATGTTGAAGCAAGGCAATATAAAGCAAACCCTTTAATCTGTTCAGGGCAGAGTTTAAAGCAGCTCTTTGCCTTTGTCGTTTCTTTCCTCGCTCGTCATAAAAAGGAGGAGAAAGCCACACTGGGATTCTTAGAATGGCTGATATTTAATGTTACATATCCATGGCTAAAGCTTTTGATTATATTTATTTAAATTTATTTGTGGTAGTGCTGCCAGACCCAAAATCCCACCGTATTCAGAGTTTATGAATTCTTAGTGACTACTCAGCTGGTAATTGAAAACTGGAGCGGAGGACGCGACAGTCTGGGTGGCACCCAGAAGATTATAAAAAGGGGTTAAGTGTCTCAGCAGGGCTTTCTGCTCTTGGGAGGGGGAAAAAAACACACCACTGTACATGATAAATAAGAGCTATGGTAATGGGGTATGGGTTTGTGTAGTTTAATAGTAGTGACTTGGTTGCTGTCTTTGCTTCTCGTAGCTGATCCGATGCCATCAGTCCCGTGGTGGAGCCTGTGGAGACAACATTCAGTCTTACACTGCCACAGTCATTAGTGCTGCCAAAGTGAGTACATCATCTGCTCTGGGAGAGAGGTTATCGTGGAAGAGAATTGTTAGGTTTCCCTGCTGAATTGTGCTGTGTGGCATCACCCCCTCCCTGAGCTCTGCGCCGGAGCTCCTCGTCCTGCAGAGCTCTGACTTGCTTCTCCCCCAACTGCTTCTCTTCCTCAGCTGATCTTTCAGAGCTGTATTTGTTATGAACAGCTATTCATGTTGGAGGGAAGTCCTAGTAAAATGGATTTGTGAATGGCTGTTCGTAATGGCACGAGTTTGTAGGGTTAGACATCGACACGGTGAATTATTAGTCTTTTAGCGTTGTGAAAAGTGACTTTACAAGTGCCTGGTGCTTTTTTGGACTCCAACACACTTGCACTGTGCATTTGACTCTCTCTGAAGGATGACAGCACAGTACTGGAGCTAATTCATTACCTTCTTTGAAGCTTATTAATGACTGTTTACACATAGGTTCCTTTGCCTCGTTTTCCTAGGTCAGATGACACTCTAATATCCCTCAGTTTTCAGAGAAATGTCTGAGGGTTTGTAGGATCAAAAGAAAGCTTGGAAAAATCTTCAACCAGAGTATGGACAACTTCTGTGTTACTATTCCCTTCACAGCTCCTTTCCTTGCCTGCAGCGTTGTGCCAAACTGTGATTTTTCTCACACAAACACACACACAGAGCGAGTTTTGGCACTGCCTGGTGAGCTCTGTGCTGATTACAAGCTTTCCTTGTAACCACCAGCCTTTTCATTTCTGATAGGCACAACAAAACAAACCTAATAATAGGCATGAAATGACAGCACAGGGCAGAGAGCTCAGTGGCACTGAGGAAAACAACAGTTAGGAGAAGCCACAGAGAGACACAGCTCATGTGAAAGCAAAACATGCAAACAGACAGAGTCCATCACAATCACAGCGTGGCTGGAGGAGGAGGAGCAAAATCACAGTTTTTTACATTGTTGAAGAGAACTGGAATTGCTGCTCTGGTGATTCATTGGATCTTTGTGTGCCTTCACCACCAGCAGAGCAAAAATAAAGGTGTGGGGAGAGATCTCCCCAAACTCCTACAATCTTAGCATCATTAACACGATTTTTATAGCACGGATAATTGGAAGAACCCACTGGCTTAGCCTGATCAGCCAGTTTTGATCAGATGTGGTAAAATCCTCCCAGCAGATCACTGGAGCTGCTGACCTTCCCTGCTGAGCAGGACTAGCTAAGGATCATAATCCAGGAATTCCGCTGTTAAGCTGAATTTATCACACTGAAGTAGTGATATTGTATCATGGAGATGGATACTGAAGATAAACCATGTTTATAATCATAGGAGAGAAAAGATTGTTAGCCTCTGGATAAACTCACAGCGAGAGTGAGAGAAGCAGATAATCCTAAGGGCACAGTCCCTGCACTACTTTGTGTTTGCACAGCACTTTGCTCGTGCTCCTCACTGTGAGCTGGTGCTCAATAGACGAGATTAATATAATATACTCTTAAATATTTGCACAGTTTGGCTCTTGAGTATATCTCAGCCTTAGTGTATGAATTTGTTACCTGACTGCTCAGAGTAAATCTGCAGTGTTTCAGTGCTCAGTGATTTCTCTGGCTCTTGGCTGGCCAGCAAGTGTTCTTCTGTGCTAACTGCAGGGCTGACCTGTTGGCAAGTGGGTGCTCCAAATATCTGTGGCTCTTTGGCCATCTCATTGCCTCAGCATCAACTCTACTCCTTCCTTATGTAAGTTTGCATTTATAAACCTCCACTGCTGCTGTGTCCTGTCAGTGCTTTGTGATTCCTTTGCTCTGATCAGCAGAGGAATTAGCTTTTTTGGGAAGCCAAGTCCTTTTCCTTGCAGTGCTGCCTTTGGGTTCAGGAGTGGTTCCATAGCAGTTCTTGTTTCACCAGATTAGCTTGGGTTACAGCCTCTCTCTGTTTGGCTTCAATTTTCTTACTGAAGGAAGGGAATGAACCTTCAGACAAAAGAGAAAAAGCTGACAGCAAAGAGTCACTTCAGCAGAGTCAATTTTGAGAATTGCCTTCCAGATCCTCTCCAGAAGATCTCCATGGCATTACAGAATGTTGACTTTAATGGTTTTCCCTTTGCTGGGACATGTCCTGCTGGTGACCAGTGGGTTTGTCCTCACTGGGAGGTGTTGATCTGTGCTGCAGATAAACTTCCTCCTCAATTCTCTCGGGGGTTAGAAGGTCCCTGTGGGCCCAGATTACTGAGGTCAGAACTGTGATCCTGTTGGGGTGGTTGGTGCTGGTGCCAAAACTCTTCTTATAATGTTACCAGTCTGAAGAATTCCTTCACATCATCTTCCTGTTCAATTTGGTAATTTCTAGAAGATTTCTATTTTGAACATTGATTTTTTTTCCTGTTTCTCTCTCATTTTTCCAGCCCAATCTCTTATTTTCAATTTGGTGGATTTTAAGCTGTTCATGTTCTAAAAGCTTTGATAGTTCCTGTCATTTGACCAAGGAAATAGAAAATGTGTCAATATTCCCATTTAGGTTAATGATTAGCAAAGATAAAAATGGATGCATTTGGGAAAAAAAGGAAAATATTCCTTATGGGATGAAGATTATTTTCACTCCAGCTGGAAGGGAAGCAGATTAATTTTCAGAACAAACTCTGTTATTGGCAGTGGGAGAATATTGAGGTGCTTGGTTTGAGATAAGCAGCCACTGTGGATTTTCTTGTTGGCATTATCCATATTTATCCATTTTGGATGCAGCAAAGAAGTGGAATTAGGAAGAGACACTTATGTGTCCGTGGTTGGTTTGACCCCACCGCGTCCCAGCTCATTCACACAGACCTTCCCCATCCTCAGGGATCTCCAGCACCTAAACTTGCTGTTTAAGATGAATTTCCTAATAGGTTTGTTCCCTGTTTTCCCTCTTTTCAGAACACAGGGCGAGAGCAGGAAAGGAAAACCTCTTTGCAAAGCACAAACATTTCAACAAACATTTAGTTTGAACTTAAAGCTCTAATTGATTGAACCTTCACTTTGTTTGGATTGTGTGAGGCTTCCATACTGTTGACTCCTAAGACAATATCCTTCTGATATCTCTCTCTGCTTTCTATAGATTTTTTTCATTTGCAACCAAATAAACCATGCAAAATGTATCTATTATGAGAAACAGGAACAATCTATTGTGCTGCCACTAAAAGGACCTGAGGCCTTTGTTGGAACAAACCAGCCTAACAGGCACTGAAAGAAGCATTTTAATTCTTTTCAGCTCATTAAAGTTGTACTTATTTTTCAATTAAACGAGCTGGGAGCACATACATTTAGTTTAATTAAATCTACGTATTGCTTTAATATTGACATGACTGTGAACAGTTCTTTCGAAGCAGATAAGGTACACGTGAGCCTGTAAATCATGTGTGTGTGCACAATGTGCAGACCTGCTTTCCAAAGGGAACTGGATCCAGTATTCTCATTTCATTTCCAAGCAAACTTCCCTGGCAGGTTCCCATCAGTGCCAAAGCAACTGGGACACTGCAAACTTTTAACCTATTTGGCCTGTCAAACATCTAGCATCAAATTATAAACCAAGTCCTTCTCACCTCATAACTTCTTTGCTTGATTCTCTCTCCATATCTTTTAATCCTATAGTGGCCAAGCGATTTAGCAAAAAAAGCTGCATCTGTTTTCTCTTGTTACCTGATAACTTCTTAATGAGGACTAACAGCTTATGTGAGAGCAAGGTCATTAGCCCTAATGGATGGAGGGCACAGCTGATATGGCATGGGAAAGGTTAAAGATTACCAGGGAGGTTTTTGCAAATGTACACACAGCACAGGGCAGTAAGTGCTGTAATGGTTTTGCACTGATATTTCGGAGCTAACCCCAATTTTTTAGGGAGAGAGTGCTCAGGCATTGGAATGTGCTGCCCAGGGAGGTGGTGGATTCACCATCCCTGGAGGTTTTCAAGCTGAGACTGGATGTGGCACCTAGTGCCATGGTCTAGTGACCACGGTAGGGTTGGACTGAATGATCTTGGAGGTCTCTTCCAACCTGGTTGATTCTATGATTTTACCATGGAGCATTTACTGATTTCTCCTTCCTGCCATAAAAACGAATCACTTGATACGATTTTCACTATCAGCCAAAAATCTGCCTCGTCAGTTTTTATCAGGAAAATTGAAACCCATCCCTGTGATGGCATCGAGGCTATTTTAACTCCATTCCTCAGCTATCAATATCTCCTTTATGTTACATTTTTTCACCCACTGGTAAAACTCGTTTTATTCTCATTTGCCGTCGCTCGGGTCTAAAAAGGAATAACAAGAAACAAATGGCAGGATATTACTAAAGACTTTAAACCCCAAAGCCATTGCTGTGCTCAAGGCCTGGCTCGATTTTAAGTGGAAGTATCTCCATTAGCAGTAATGGGGTGAGTCCATCAGCTGAGGCATCTCAGAGGTTAATCAAGCTTCCTGGCTGGGCTGCCCATCGATACCCGGTGGCGCCTGGTTCTGTTGGCCCTGCAGAGGTTTTCCTGACAACACACTAACAGACTTTGTGTAAGTCATTTCCCATGAATTATTAAAACAAAACGTTTGGCTGCTAATTGATGAACACTAATGTGTTTTCTAATCACTGCAGTTTGAGATTTTAGCACTAAACAAAGCAGTTGCAATTGATTTGTGGCTGCTCCTTGGTTTCAGCCTGGGATCTGGGCCTTTTTTTTTTTTGGATTTTTTTTTTTTTGGCAATTTAGCAGGCAGCTTAGCTTGTCTTTTTAGTTAAGAATTGGCTTGTTACAGTGTCATTCCATTCTGATCTCTTTTGCTAGTTCTTATTTATATTGCATAATAAATCTGCTCAGCTCTTCGCAGGCAAATCAGGCACAGTCCTTGATTCAAGGAGAAAACATTGCAAGTTGTAGTTGGGATTGTTTTTTCTCTCCACATTTCTCCTACTGTGTCTAATCTTCCTCTTTCTCCAAATAAAATAAAGCAACATAAAAACAATCTCCAGCATCTTTAGCTGATAAAAACTGGTGATTATGTTTTCAAACCCACGGCTGGAAAACATGCAGAGCCTGGAAAGTCCCATTAGTTGTGCTGGGATGTGGCTGCTCTGGGCATGGAGTTCTCCTTTCCAGGACCTTGAGGATGACATTTCTCATTTTCCCATACTCAGTTGAAATGCTGCAAAAGGCTGAAATGCTGAGGACCAAGTAAGTGTGTCACACCTAGCAAAGGCCAAATTCCTGGTGTCTTGCACTGTGCAGAGAACAAAACTGTGTCAGCATCAGCACCAGGGGCTATGTGTGTGTGTGTATGAGCACTGCCCTCACATACCCATCTGGGCTTCCTCCTTTGATCCTGCTGCCTCTCCATGCTCTTGGAATAAGTAAAAACAAAGTTAAAGAAAGGGGGAAAAACTGGAATACTTCAAATATTAAACGACTAAAATGTTTAAACATTAAAATGTTTTTTTTCCCAGGAAAATTGTATTCCCAAACAGAGGTGAATACTTCCAATTGCTAAGATGCACAACTTTTTCAAGCTGTTTCTGCTCCAGCCTTTTGCAGCTGATACATCACTTCTAAACCCATTTTACCTGTGCACAATCTTAAGTTATTAACTGCCCCGAGAAGAAAAAAATTCCAGATAGATCCACAAAACAGCCCTGAACTTTATTCCTTGGTTTTCTTCCTTTGTGTAGACGATAAAGACTGGACTTACCATGGTGGGGAAGGTGGTCACACAGCTCACAGGGACTCTGCCCTCAGGAGCCACCGAGGAGGAGATCCTAGCCCACAGCAACATCCGTCGGAGTCCTCTGGTGCCTGGAATTGTCACCATCATCGACACAGAGACAGTGGCAGAAGGACAGGTAATAGTTTACACAGCGACAAAACGTGTGTTTTCACCCAAAAAAAAATCTCAGGGAAAATGTGGTTTGTGCTGTTGCAAATGAGAAAGAAATGAGGGGTTTTTTTTGCTAGGTCAGAAACTTTTCCAGGCATACACAGCTGGGATCAAATCCTGCTCAGGACTGAAAGGAAGCCAAAGTATATATTGTCCTTTGAAGGTATTTATGTGACACTTTGACAAGATCAAGTGTGAAGTGTCACATTTTGTCTCCCTAACACTTGTTCCTAATTGACATTGATGGATGCTGATCAGCTGGGGATGTAGTCTGATCATATTTGTTCATGTGTGACGTGGCTGGAAAACATGATTGGCTGCAAACAGTGAACTGTTGAATTCCAGATTAAAAAGGATGATGGGTGAAGTTGGTTAGGAAGTATAAAATCTTATAATTTTATGTAAATCTCAGCAGTAAAGTGCAGTCAAGGCTGATGCTGTTTTGTGAGCCATTTGCACTGTTTTGCTAATGATACAGTAAATTTACTGTGTGTAATAATATCTACTGCATCAGGCAAAGTCATTTGGTCCAAAATCCACCCCATATTCACACTGAATTGGTGTTTTCTGCTGCCTTTGTGTCTTTGTTTGTTTGTTTCACTCAGTCATGTAATACTGGTGTCTGCTCCTGGACTCAGTGTTTGCAGAGCTCCCACACACTTCATTATTCTGTGACTAGTCTGTAAAATTGTTTTCCTCATGGTCACATTTATTGACTTGAAAGGGAAAAAAACCTTCCTTTTTTCTTGTTTTCCTCTGTATTTATGATGCTCATTGTAGGTGAGTTACTAAGGTATTAAGGACACATCAGTAGTCAAGTTATTTTCTTTTCTTACCTGACAGGAAAATGAAATGTTTTACTTGAAAACAAACAAAATCAAACCCCTGTTCTGGTTGTTCCTGAGATTTAGTTTTGGAACTGCTTAGCCAAGAAATGTTGCATTGAAAGGGGATTGTTCATAAAACATTATAGGCCTTTTCTTCCAAAATTGAAAGAAAAGAATAAAAAAGAAAAGAATGGAATAAAAAGGTTTTATTTACCTAAGATCTTAGAGTCAGGTCTGAAAATAATTCTGTTGGGGTTTGTTTTTGTTTCCAGGACAAAAAAAAAAAATAAAAAGGTGTTTTGACTCTTCATATATAACCAGAAAGAAAAAAAAAAAAAGAGAAAAATTTGACTTCATAAATTTCTGATGAAGTCTGTTTAATGTGGTCATTACTTGTGCTGCTCGTTGTCTGGGCTTTGATTCTTCTGCACAGGCCTAGGGGGAAAAAAAATGATAGATCTTAGGTTTTTAAGTCTTGTTATGTATGATTTAGAGGTTTTATGAACTTGTCCTCTGACCTGAGCAATAGTAGGGAGCTCTCAAGCCGAAAGGGCACTACAGGAGAGGAGCTGTAAAAATGATAACGCTTGCCTTGTCCAAATACTGCTGCTCTAACATAAATAAGCCATCAGCTCTAGGGAAAGGATTTTTGCCTGGAATCTCTAGGGAAGGAGACTCCGAGTTGGATATCCTGATTGTATGTATGTATTGCTTTCAGATTTGTGTGAGCTGAGGTTTAAAACATTGTAAAATCGTTAATTTATTCTCAGAGCTGCCATTTGCAGCTGGAATTAGTGTTCTGTTTCTTTCCAGCAGAACAACCTGGTTAGATTTTCATGGTGCAGAAGACTTTTAAACAATCTTTTCTTACTGTAGTTTGCTTCTAGCAAAAAGAAAGTTGACGGAAAAGAAAGAAATACACTTTGTACATGGCCATTCCACATTGCCCCAGTGCAGAACCTGCTCACGTGGGGAGCACAGTGGGTGCTCCCAGTCCCCACTGAGGTCCTGCCTATTTCTCCAGCTCCATTTCCAGTGGAAATGGAAGTTTTGGTGCCTGATGTGAACACTCCCAGTCCTCACTGTGTTCCTGCCTGTCTCTCCAGCTCCATTTCCAGTGGAAATGGAAGTTTTGGTGCCTGATATGAACACTCCCAGTCCCCACTGAGGTCCTGCCTATTTCTCCAGCTCCATTTCCAGTGGAAATGGAAGTTTTGTGCACGCAGCCTCATGTGAACATGGTCCCTCCTGATGTTGGCAGTTACACTGATGAGTCCCAAGGAGCCTGGCAGGGATCTGGGGCTGGCAGGAGCAGCCAAGCCTGCAAGGAATGCCAGGCCAGTGTAGATGGCACATGTTTGTACTGGCTGGGCACTCCTGGCTGGGTGTTATGTCAGAATTGAGTGAAGCTTCAGTTCAGGCAAGTGTTTTAACACATCTGACCTTTAAATGAGGCAAATATCTCTGTGAGCTGATTGTCACTGCTCACAGACTCCAGCACACACTGCTGGGTGAGCAATGAGCTGATTCCAGATGTGAGTGTGAGCTCCACAGGGTCTTCCTCATTCTGTTTGTTCCTGGAATGATTTTACTCTTCTGTTGCTGACAGTAGCCATCCAAACTGTATCATTCCCAGCACTTGGGCTGAATGGAAGAGTGATGGAGCAGGTTGGCTGATGCCAAGCCCAGTGTCAGTGTCTTAGGGAAAGCCACTGCCCTACAGTGACTGCCTTGTGGAGGTCACTCTTGGTTTTCTTGATGGTTTTTCCATCAAGAAAACTGGTTTATAAAATCCCAGAATCATTAAGGATGGAAAAGACCTGCAAGATCCTCAAGTCCAACATTTAACTGAACACCACCATGCCCACAGAACCATGTCATGAAGTGCCATGTCCACTTGTGATATCCAACCTGAACCTCCCCTGGCACAACTTGAAGCTATTTCCCCTTGCCTTATCATCCCAGTTTTCAGCCTCCAGGAATTACGAGGTCTGAGTGGGACCAAACAAACACTTAGTGGCAATTTCTGCTTCCTGCTGTGCTGAAGGTGCCTCTTTGGGCTGTTTGATTGCTGCAGGATGGCTGTGCCCATCACCAGCTTTGGGCTTCCTGAATGCACTGGGAAACCCCAGGAATTGGTAATGCCAACCAAGTGTTTTCTGGGCTGAATCAACACTTGGAAAGCCTTTTGTCCTGTTCATCAGAGATGTGTTAGCAGCTGTAGAGATTTGTGTGTGGTTTTCAAGGGGTTCAGTCCCTGTAACTGAAGGGAATTTCAGAAGGAGGAAGGAGTTATTTTCTTATCATCAGTGGCCTCCTGGTATAAAATAAATCCCTCCTTCAGCTCTATAAAGATTTCAATCGACCTGCACAGCCTAACTAAGAATTTGGGTGTTGAAATAAAATCATTTGCAAGTAATAAAATAGATCTGTAAGATAGTATACGGTAAAAAGAAAAGGAAGAAATCTGTTTTTGAAAGAGAGAGAAAACGACAGTAAATCTCAGGCAGCCAAGCAGGTCATTTTGAGGGAGAAATAAGCACTTTTTTCAGTGGGGAATCAGGTTTTTCAGTAAGTGAATGTATTTAAAGGCTTGCAAAGCAACGATGCAAGTGCTTGTTCTGTTGCTTTGAGCACAGCACAGGGTTTGAGGATGGACTGAACTGCTCTGTGTGTACAAACACATCAATTTATTTGCCAGTGGGACGATTAAGGAACATGTTTTGGACCTGAGCCAGAAGGACTAACTCCAGCTTGAAGTTTTCACTAGTTTATTTTATGATTTCTCCCATTTCAAAGGCATCAAATCGAGGGACCATGAGCTGGAACTCGCTGTGCTTCGTGCACTGCCACGGCAGAGGGTGAAATGCAAACTCACTGCTGAAAAATACACAGTCAAAGACCAAAGGAATCTCCTAATGTTAATCTTCCAGCATTAAATCCATAGGGAAAATCTATTTAATAAACCTTACAAAGGTAGCCATCGTAATAAACTCTCCTCCCCAGCAGTTATGTCATAGCTCCTACTCTCCTAATTGGTGCTTCTACTTGGAGAAAATGGGAATTATGAGGTCATTAAGCAAATGCAGAGGAATGTGGAATTATTGACATTGGCTGTCAGGAGATATTTGTAAAAGGAATAAAAATAATTATCGAGATGCCCAAGTAAGTCTGTGGTAAACCAAAATATGTTAACAAGGTCGTGTGCTTGTTTAAACTTCCTCCTAATGAAGTGTTAGCAAACTTTTCAGCTCGAGGTAACGAGTATTTATTTGAATCCCTTAATTAGCTGGGATGGATCAAACTAAAGCTGGACAGATGTCCTCTTTTTCAGTAATTGGAATTAAATGTGTGAGGCTTTATTGGCTTGAGTTTGAAAGAAAAAATGATTTTCTTTCGACCTTTGTTTCTGTATTCCTTAATGAATTCACCCGCTAGGCCACCCACGTGCAGCTGCCAGAATGGCCTTGCTCAGGAGACACCAGTTTGGGGACTGAGTGCAAATCTGTTCAGCATCTAACAGGGACTTGACAGAGAAATCTGTGGTCACTTAAAAATCCAGGAGTCGATTCTCAGCGCCCTCAGCAGAGAGCTGAGACCGAGGGGACATCGCCAAGCGCTCAGGGAGCTCAGGGCATGTTGTCAAAGTAACTCCCAAAAACTAGAGAACATGTTGATCTAGTCATATTTTAAAGCATTTTTGAGGCTTTTTCTCCTATTCTTCATCAGCTTTTGATTGCATTAAAGAGGAATTTTCAGGACAAAGCTGCAGTTCCTCAAGTTGGTTTTCCTTTGGTGAGGAGCTGATAGCAACCAAACCAAACCACGATGCTTATCAGGAGCAGGAATTGTTGTGAAATTTTGGTCTGAAGCAAAAAGAAGCTCAAAGAATAAAGCAGCTTCAATAATAAAACTTTAACTACGTCTGTAATTCCACTGGTCATTAACACCAGGGCTTTATTTTAGGGGCAGTTTCCACAAAGGCTAATCTGCTGCTCAGATATTTGGCCTCGATTTTCTTCCCTTTTTTATATCTCTGTGTATTACAGAAGATTTTTTTTTTTTATGTACAGAAATATAAAAAGAGCACCAGGATTCCCTCAGAGCATAATACTGTCTGCCTCACTTTTATTAAAGGAGATCTGGTTTTTGTCAAGAAGACATTTTTGTCTCAGATAAATGGTTCAGGCTGAGCGTGAGGCTGGTTTGAGTTTATGCTGGATCCTATTAAAAGGAGAGCAGTAGTTAATGCCACAGATCTATCACTTTTAGCCCTTTCCCACTGATGTTTGACCTTGGCTATAAGTTGGGGGAGGCTGATGGGGGCTCAGGGCAGAGGGGGTTGGTGTTTGTGCCTCAGAACTGAATCAAACACCAACTCGAGCTATTTAGAGCAATGAAGATCTTAACTATACACCAAACATCTCTTCAGGATATAATATTCCCAGTTCTAAATATTGCCAAAGCGATTTGTTTTTATGATGATGGGATTACTCTTTCTTAATTGTATTAAGAATAGGAGCTGCTTGATTCGATTTGGGCCCATTTTTATTTGTGTTACTTTCATGTTTTATTTAAAAACATGTCTGCGCTGGGATAAGTGGTGTAATTTGCCTTTAAAGATTAAAATAATTGAAGGCATAATTACTAGTGGCTTCTGTTCAGCAGTATGGAAAACACAAGGGATGAAGAAAAATATGGCACAGGATGAAAAAAGCTTTGGCTTGAGCTATCTCTTGCCCTCAAAGCAAACAGTGGTGGCTGGCTGTAAATGGAACGATGCCCTTGGTGTTTTGTCTCCTTGGTTTAGGGAGAGATAAAGAGACTTGGATTCATCTCCATCAGCTCCAGTGCTCTGTTGTAACAGAGTTGTCCTGGGAGCTGTGGTGTTGGTTTGGCACATCCATGGGCTCTGCTGGCTGGAAGCTCTTTGGAAAATCATGTTGTAGCTCTCTCAATACTCTCTGGGCACCAGGAGTGCTCATTTCCAGGGGCATCTTGGTAGAAGAGTCCTAGTGTTTCTTTCTTGTCAGTTGTTTTTAGGGAATTCTGCAAGGAGCATCCTGATGAGCCTCAGTGACTGTGCAATTATGAGAGTAATGCTAAGATTGAAGCACCTTCCTCAATGAGAGACTTTGTGATGATTTTGCTTGTAATGGTCGAGTGGTTAGAGGCCACTACCTTGGATCAGGAGCCTGTTTGGGATGGCAGCCTCGGGATTCCTGTGGGCTCTGCCTGCTCTGGGGAGCTGAATGAGCTGCTTCCTTCCAGCTCCCTGACAGCAATTCACATCTTATTAGGGAAATTGTCCCTCTGGTTTGATTTCCAGGAAAAATCTCCAACTCTGCTGTTTCCAGTGGTCAGAAACCATCAGCTGGCCGAGAGGAGCTGGTGGTGCCATGTGGCTGTGGAGTTGATGTTTTTTTACCCTATAGCTCCCCTCTGACTTTGCAGGCAGCATCTTCCACTTCAGCTTCTGCAAGAAGTGCTTCTGAAATCTGTGAGGCCTGTGACAGAGCCCTTGGGTACCTCTTCATTGCTCTCCAGCTCCAGTCTTCATCCTTGTCCACCCGAAATCTGAGCAATTTGATCTATCCTTGTTGCTACAGACTCTGTTGCACTGAGGCACTTAGATCCTTGTAAAAATCTCTACTGCAGAAAATATTCCAGGGTAAAGCGTTGTGTGTTAGAGCACCATCGTTCTGACTTCCTTCAGTTGTATAAAAAGGGGAAAATCCCACTGAGATTTAAAGCTGCACAAGCTCTGTCAGCATGGGAACCAGGGTTAGGTTTGGTGGGGGGTTTGGGAGGGACAAGAGGCTCCTCTTTGGGTGATTGTGTAGTTAAGTCCAATTCCTTGGATGTTTTTTTCCCTTCCTTTGTAGTGTTGGGATTGTAAAATGTGATGTGTGTTATCCCCAGGTGTGCACTGCAGAAGAGCAGGGGAAGGACAGGACAAATCTTGCAGTGCAGCCTGAAAGTGAAATAGAAATTCGGGTTAAAAAAAGCACTTTGTTCCAAAAAGGATTTAATTTTTCCATGCCATTTTATAAAGGCACAAAACAGTTTTTCAACTTCATCTTCCCTTGCACAAGGGAGTGTTGTTTCCATGTGTGAGTCCAAAGAATGTCCATCCTGTGGCTGGTGAGTAGGGAGTGACACAGTGTGGGTTTTTTTTCAGGGAGTTCATTTTAAGCAGTGATTGAAAAAGAAAAAATAATAAAATATGGAATCACTTAGCATATAAATATAGATTAGGCTTTATTGTATTCTCCAATTGAGGTGTTTCACAGTTTTTACTGTTGTAAAATGTTTGCTTTGTAGCTTCTTTCTAGAGGAAAGCTAAAGATTATTTTGCCACAGATTGTTTGCTGTGTGTTGAGCAGGAGGTTATGTTTCAGGGGTGATAACAGCAGCAGATCTATCAGTTTTGATTTCTTTTTCAAATCAAGCCAAGTTGAATTAATCTAGTTTCCAGCCTGCAAAGGTGATGCACGTGAAATATCCTACAGAACTGTGTTTAGCCATGATTTACATCCTGTTGATACCAACACATTTCTAGATGAAATATTTTTCTTTAACAACTGGATTGAAATACTTTCTTATTTCTCTGGTGAAGCTGCTCTATGCTGTTCCTTTCTCATTCTCATGTACCTTTAATTAGGGCAAAAAGTTTAGGCTAAGCCCAAAAGTGGGAGCTGTGAGAAAGATGATGGAGAGGAGTTATTTAGTGCCGTTTATAGAGGCTGAGAGGAGAACAGTGTTTCTTTGAAAAGCTCTTCGGAAGATCTCCAGACCCTTTGGTTAGTGGTTCTGGAATGAGCACGAAATGCTGACAAGGGAAAGCAAAACCATAATTGTGCTGATGTGACAGTGCCAAGTCATCTGAGCACTCCGAGTCAGGCAGGCTCAGGCCTCTCCATCCACATTACGTGACTGCTCTAAGCATTTAAAGATGATTTCTCTTTTTGAAGCATAAAAATATCCTCACGTTATTTTGATATCTGTTAGGAATAGGAAGTATTAAAAACCTTTCAGATTATTTTGGAAGCAGCAGACAAATTATTCTGAATTTGGAATGGGCAGTTTTGCAGTATCTTGTTAAGAAGGTGGTTTTTGCTCACCACAAAGCCCTTTCTAAAGTCTTTTTCTGACAGATTTTCCCCTTTGTTTCTCTTCATTTAGCCTTGCAGATGATGCAATCAAGGAATAAAATCCTCCTACAGCTCTTGCATGTGTTTTGCCCATACAGCTTTTGGTTCTTTTCTATCAGTTTAAGAGTGTCTTTGCTTTTCATGCAGTTGGACATTGATGCTGTGTCCTTTTGGGTGTCCCTTTCTGTGTCCTCACAGTCAGCTTTGCTTTTGCCTGGCCCAGGAGTTTTATCAGCTTCAAAGAGGCTTTTTGTTTAAAGCTCAAAACCTCATCCTTTGTCCCTTCCTCCAGGAGATGTATTTCCTTCCTCACTGAATCTCCCTCTGTTGTGAAAACTCTCCTAGCTTTTCATTCCTTTTTTCTTCACAAGAAGGTGTTCCATGAGACCATGCTTTTTTTTAAGGGGTTTTATTAATACCCTTTGTAATTCTGTTGTTTCAAGGCCATTGAGGCAATTCCAAGACAGAGAAAATTCATGTTAGCTGCTATTATGCAGCTGCTTCCACAACACTCCCAGTCCTTGGCATCTCCTGTGTCCTTTGCAAAGCCAGATCCCCAGCAGGAGCAGGATGCAGCCTCTAGTGCTCCCACCTGTGTGACTGATGGAAAGCAAACCCACTTTCTTTGGGCTTTTGGTCTGTTCTTCCCCTGCACAGCACAGACTCCTGCTGTAATGAGCTGCTGTACAGCCACTCCTAATTCCTGGAGCAAACCAGGAATAGTTTTCTATTTGCTCCTGTTAGAATAGGCTAAATGAATAGGAAATCGAGGTATGAAGTGCATAATCTTCTCTAGTTCATATCAGGTTATCAGAGCAGGTCTCATGCCTCTTTACCTGAAAAAATAACAGAGGGTTGTTTGTGTTATGTGTATTGTATGTGATATATTACAGCTACACTGTGATTTCACCCCACTGTGGACATCTAATACATCCATTCCTGGATGAGTGAGTTGGTGTTTTCTCTTTGGTTTTCCTTCCTAACCTTTGTCTCTGTTTCCTGCCACAGGTGCTTGTGAGTGAGGACTCAGACAGCGATGGCATCGTGGCTCACTTCCCTGCACATGAGAAACCTATTTGCTGCATGGCTTTTAACCCCAGTGGTGAGTCAGTTTGCTGTTTCATGTGATGCAGATGAGATGCAGACAGTAAACACTGCCTTTATTTATATTTTATTTATCAAAGAATGTGCTCCATGATTTTGGAGGAGTTGCAGGTACCGTCGTGGTTCTCCATTACATTAATCATTTCCCTGGTTTTAAAGTAACTTACACTGCCATTATGGGTCTTGTTGATGAAGAGTTCGTGATTCTGCTCTCTCTCCTGAGTGAAACCAACTGTGATCTGGAAATACTTTAAAGAAACTCCTCAAAAGTACCTGTTTCTCTCCTTGCTCTTTGTAAAGGGACAGTGACCAGGGACAGCAGAGAGAACTACAAACCTCATGGATTAATAGATCTTATTCTGACAATCAGCATATTCATTATCTATAGACAAAGAACATTTTGGCTGGTGGCAGCAGCAGTCAGGAAAGTGCTCAGGTGGGTCAGAGTGAGCAGAGTAGAGGGGAAGAATCACCTCTTTTGCCCTGCTGCCCACACTCTTTTGGATTCAACCCAGGATTCCATTGTCTTTCTGTGCTGAGCTCACACTGCAGCTCATGCTGAGCTTCTCATCCACTGTCACTCCCAAGTCTTTCTCCTCACTGCTGCTCTCAATCCCTTCCCCACCCAACCTGTAGCTGTGCCTGGGATTGCCACGGCCCTGATGTAGGACCTTGCCCTTCATTTTGTTAAACCTCATGAGGTTTCCATTCTTCCACCTCTCCAGCCTGTCCAGGTCCCTCTGGATGTCCCATCCCTTCCCTCCAGCTGTGACTGCCCCACACAGCTTGGTGTCATCAGCTTCCCCTTGCCCAAATGAACAATTTCTAAATGCCATGAAGATGCTGAGGGTGAAGTCACATTTCAAAGAATAAAACTAAATGTCTGTCATTTATGTTTTCACTTTTGCCGACCAGTTGGTGTTACTCTGACACCCCATCTGTTGTGTCAGAACTCCTTAATAGTACTGTGCAGCTCACAGGGTTTTCCCTGGGAGGTTGTGACAGAAAAAGCTGTATTCTCATCTGGCTGCCTTGGCTTCTCAGAGAGGTTTTTGTGGAGCTCTGTGCACTGAACTGAGAATCAGCTATTCCAGAACACTCGTCCTGCTTTGTGCTCTGTAGGAAGGATAATACCTAGAGTTGAGCAATGCTAATAAAGTGAAATAAATGCAGCTGCTTAAGTTAGAATGGCTTAGAGATATTAATTAAGTGCCTCCTTGAGACAGTTTTTATGGTTATACAAATGTCAGGGCAGCAGAATGTTTGTGCAAAACCCAATGAACTTCTTGTTTTTGAAACCGAAGGATATTTTTGCAAGTTATTGGGATACTTTTATTCTGATCAAGTCCTTTGGTTTGCTCAGGTGCTGCAGTCACAATCCTTTGTATGGCAGAGTTGTAGATTTAGATCTGAGATCTAGATTTAGACCTTAGATCTAGCAGTGCAATAAGATGTTTAGTGGCAAAACACTTCTTTAATTGGTGTGTTTGACCTCTTGCAAGTGGTGTGTGCCATGGGGTGTTTGCAGGAGGGATGGCTCGTACCTCATGTGCTGGGCACAGCAAGAGCAAAGCAGCTGCAAACTCTTCCCTGAGTTGCCTCCAGTCAGAGCAGCACTTAGCACAGGGTTCTGGGTGCCTTATTTAACATCAAGGCAGGATTTTGTTTGAAGCCAGGGCTGGAACTCACATCCTCTCAGTCCATTCTGCAGTGCTCTACTGGCAATCAGGCTGAGCTGGTTACAGAGAACAAACAGAGGTGGTGTTTGATACTGTCCTCATCTCTCAGCTGGCTGCAGGGAAAAACCACTTCTGCTCAGAATTTCGAGCAGGGTCTGTGCTGCTGCAACACAGCAACTACTCACTTGGGCTGTGCAGGCAAACATTGCTCTGTTTCACTCCACTGTTTATCCTCTGTGGCTGGTAAATAGCTTCATTTCATCATGTCTCACCCTTGGAGCTGCACAGGTGTGTAAAACTGGTAGGATTGTGTGTAAAAACATCCAAACTCAAGTCCTGAGTGACTCTGGAAAGCACTGAGGGTCAGGGGAGAGATAGGATTGTTGTGTAGCAAAGCAGTGCCACAGCCACTTTCAGCTGGGATTTAAAGGTATCAGTTGCCAGTAAGAGGCATTTCTTTTTCTTTTTTTATGGTTTCTGCTGTTTATGTTTTCATATCGAAGGAGTTTGCTAGGGATAAGTTAATTGTGATAAAATAAGAGTACACACTGTGTGGGTGTCATGGCTAGAGCAGCTCCTGGGAATATATTGCTGCACTGTTGGATTACCAGAAAACAATCCAACAGCAGCAAAGAGACTCCCTACAGTTAGTAAGTGGCAATCAGGTATTTGTTCCCCAAAAAATATGATTTTTTTTGAGGTTTTCAGAGAAACTTTGCATACATTTAACTGTTTTTTTTATTTTTTTGTATTAGATCCATGGCTGCTCTGAAACTGGTTGACTAATAAAATAACCAACTTGAAATATCATTTCGGAGCATATTTAGGAGGCACCAGAGTTGGATTTTTTTTACTGCTGCCCTGCATATATCTCTTCCAGACCCTTCTGTTAATAACAGCTTCTGAGGCAGTTGATTTTAGGGAGACTGTAAAAGTCTCAGGCTAAAACATGCAGCAAATCATGTTTAGCATTAAGAGGGAAAAATAAAAAAGCCATAAAGCAGAAAAGCTGCAGTCCCTGGTGGCTCAGGATTTCTCTGGTTTAGTTTGCTGTAGGGATTGGGTTGCTGGGGGTGTTTGGGGGTGGAGGGAGAGAAAACTTGGAGCCAGGCATTCCCAAAATCCCTCAGTCCTGTGGAATTTCTGAGAGCCAGGTCCCTGCATGTGTTGTTACGGCCTCTCTGCTTGGCATTTTTCATTTTAAGAGGTAAGACATGGAGTAGGTCAATAAAAGTGAACAAGAATTGGTCCTCCTCTGCTGTTTGCTGCTGAGTCTTTGGGAAGCAGAGCTAACAGGGTCCAGTGGTAAAACTGGGAATGATGATGTGAGCCCATCATCAGTGAGCTTAATAAATGCAATTCCAAGTGCCCAGTTCAGGTAACTTGGCTCTGTTAGTTGTTTTCTTCTTGGTTTTTTTTTTTCCTGTATCATTTTCTTCCACAGTGTCAGTTTTCTCTGCACAGGTCAAAAATCAAGATTATTTATACACTGCCTTTGATGTCAGTGGTGGCTTTAGTGACTTACATGAAGATAAGGTCTCTCTTCTGCTGCACTCAGGGTTTTATTTCTCTTAGACATCCCTCCAATATTGAATCAATGAAATAAATTTAGCATTGCCAGGTGCCATGCAAGAATTGCTGTGGATTAGCAGGAAACAGGGATTGGATTTTGCCATTTATTTGCCTAATAAGTAGCACAGACACGTGATATTTATTGATTTATTTTTTTTACCACAACCCCTTCCCATGAAGTGATATTTGCACCACAGCCTGTGGTGAGATACTTCATGGCAGAGGAAGGAGCTGTGGGGCCACAGTGCAGGTGATGACCAGCAGGATAATTCCTGCAGCTTGGGAATGGCCAATAAGTTGGATGAGTTGTAAGTCATAACTTGCACTGCTGTTGAGCACCCACGTCGTGCTCTGTGGGAGCAGCTGCTGCAGCAGAGTCACAGCACCACGTCCACCCCTGGCTCTGAACAAAGGAGGTGGCTGCTGACTTTTAGCAAGACTTTAAGCCTTTTATGAAAACTTCTGAAGATGAGGATAAATAATAGAAGGAAGTGAAGTAATATTAATAGTCTGGGGACTTTATTAATGTAGCTCTGGCAGAGATGTTGGTGTAGTGGAAACAAGAGGCTTATACTGACAAAGAGACTCTGAGCACAGTTACTTTAATTCACTTATTAAATGAAAATCACATTAAGCCTTTGTGTGGATCCTTTTACTTAGCATTAACATTGGCCTGATTTATTTTTAGCCTGAATAGTGAGTTTTGGCTGAACTGAGGTCCAGCTGACTGTGGGCAGAGTGTCCAGACAGCATGTAGTGCTGTTTGCTAATTCACATCAGGTAATTTAGATTAATTATTCAGACTGCATCAGTGCAGCTCTGCTCCCAAACCTGTGCTTCATATTTTCCCTGCTTATTTCTTTTTTTTTCCTGAAGAAAATCTTGATACCTTTGGGTTGGGTCCAGAAACACAGTATAGGATTATAGTCAACAGACCTTGGCCACTCAAGGGTTATCTGGGATGTGTTAGCTGCACTGAGTTGCAGGTTGTGTCACCAACATGATACCCTTGTTTGGGTGAGCACATGTGCTGTGTTACTGTGATCTGCAGGACAGCACAGCCTCCCTCCAGTTCTTGGAAGGGTGATTTGGCCTGTTCCAGGCTGTAAATGTAAGGTATTAAAAATAATGGGTTCAAACTGAAAGAGGAGAAATTGAGGTTAGATATTGGGAAGGAATTCTTCCCTGTGAGGTGCTGAGGCACTGGCACAGGTTCCCCAGAGAAGCTGTGGGTGCTCCATCCCTGGGAGTGTTCCAGGCCAGGTTGGATTTCTCTTTCTTTACAACTTTCTCTTACCTGGTGCAGCACAGCACTATTGGTCTTGAAGTCTCTATTTATTATGGCTGAATTTTTACCCTACTTAAAATGTAGCCAGGATGAAAAATTTCAGCAAATATTTTCGTGGTTATTCAGATGGTTTTTTTCTGTCAGTGCAACATTATATGAGAATTTATCATTAGGAGGCTTTAAACTTTTATATGTATATAATATTTACCTATATTTTTATATGTTTATGTTTTATATATATATATCCATATAATTAAAAAATGGACACAAACCATTTGCAGAATGTTCTGGTCATTAGTTGCAGAGGAATCCTCTCTGCTCCCTAACGTGAATCACCAGGAGCTCCTTCTATAAACTCTGGATGGAGGTGACCTGGACTCAGTTTTGGAAGTTCACAGGAGGAAGGAACACCCCACAGGGGGTGACTGAAATGAAGATGTTTACAGCAAAGTTTTTAAA